GGGATTTTTTTTTTTTTTTTTTTTTTTTTTTAACATTGGCCGAAAGATATTCATTCAGATTAACAAAAGATGTATTTTTTTATCCATTTAGCAATGCACTTGATGAAAGTCTATTTTTTTCTCCATTTTGTTATATATTTTATTACGAGTACCACTTGGCAGTAAACAACATTCAAATACGTGCAGCCACCATTTTAGGCTATGATAATCAGCATATTTCTGAAACAAAGATTTTTTTTGTTCAATACGGAATTCGATACAAGAGGTAATCTGTTCCTTTGTAGGCTAAAAAAAATCTGGTTTACACTGGTTTGAACCAGTGGAATCTCTTGTGGCTAAGCCTTCTGCTGTGACTAAAATCAAAACTGCACCGCAGAGTGTGTATGTGTGTGTGTGTGTGCGTGCGTGTCTGTGAGGCGTGTCACGTGACCTTGGAAACTACCGAATTTTTTTTTTTTTTTTAAAGCTGATAACGCTACTGCCGTCTCTGTCCGCATACAGATAACGAATAAATGCTGAACTCTATTAAACACCCTTTGCACATTATCGTGGGTCGAACACACAATTTTCTGAACTTATGATGACAGTCTATTTATTTTGCTATAAACCCTCGGCATGTAACCAACAGATTTGTGTCTGGTAATGATCTGCTCTGCCAGGGCTATATGAAATGATACCGACCTTCTTTAGATCTTGGGGAATTAAATTGACCAACTTCACCCCCTGGTCCGTAGCTGAAGTTTGACACACTTTATGCACAGCAAGCCCAAATCTAATATTATCAAAACTTTGTAGTCAGAAATTAAGTAGCCACAAAATATTTGTTCACCACAAAATCCCACGTGCAGTATATGATATATATACATATCTATCTATCTATCTATCTATAGTGCATAGCCTTCTAACTAATCAGGATTTAGTAAAAAACTTTAATGTATTGAGTTTGGGAACCTGAGGCAACAGTATTACATTTCAAACGAGAGGATCTGCAATACTATAATTACCTGCACACTATTTTTGGTACCAAAGGGTTTCTGATTTAACCCTCTATGTGCTTTTTGAAAATACAAATCGCCACATAAAACAACTGTATAACTACAAAAGTAAATCCAGAATTTTGAGTACGGTATCACTACACTGAAAAGCTCAAGACTTTCAAGGGACTTGATAAATGCTGCTGGTCAGAATGACAAATAAGACTTGAAAGGAACATAGTAGTGTTTAAGACAACGCTCCTGGAAAAAGAGATAACCCAAACATACAGAGAAGGTTTTTTGTCTCCCTCTTCTGTAAGTCAGAGTGTGCTCTATCTGATTATGTTCAATGGATTTGAATTAAGAGGAAATTAATGTATACAAAGCAAGCAATTACTTATTAAATACAGCATACATTCAGAGTAATACACTAATATTGACTAAGCTAAACAAAGACATGCATTTTAAATGAAATTTTGATTGCTGGAATTTATACATACTTTGACAATTCCAGGAACTCTTATATAGCACACCTATTATAAATTAGTTATATCTCAGCATAAACATTAATTCATATTGTTTCTTCTTTTGGACTTTTGTCAACCACACAAACAGAGATCATTTCTTAGGGGAAAAAAGAGCAATATACCCCCACTAGCAAGTTACTCACAATATTAGTTGTTGCCAATCAGAGCTTTTTGTGGGGGGAAAAAACTGTAGGAGACAGTCTATGTACTGCTTTACCCCTCAATTCATTTGTGTTAAAAGATCCATTTGCAGGAAGATAAACACAAAGAGTTAACAGCTGAACAAACACCAAACCATGTACACACCTGGGTTTGCACTTAACCCTCATCTTCCTTATAAGCCAACTTAATGTGGCATCATATATAAATACATTCCATTATAAAAAAGTTATAAAAGATTTAATATGACTGTCTGTGGTCCACCCAAGAAATTGTGCAAGCCTGTAAGTTTATCTCTGTCTCACCTGGCTAACTCTTAAGTCTGCCCAGATTCTTATCATCGCCAGTGATGGATTTACCGATATTTCTACTGCGCTAGAGCAGCAATTCTTAGCTGGCACCTGTTTTTCATTGATTTATTCATCAAGGGAGAAACAGCTAAGTTTGGAGAAAGAAAAACAGCTCTTCATTTCACCTATTTAACCTAAAGCCAACACATAATTGCTTGAGCAGTCAAAACCCTGCAGAACTAAATTTAAGGCTAGCCATTTCCATGCGCACACATTCCCATCAAACAATGCAAAAGCAAATGTTAGGACTCCTCTCTTACTATGATGTACTACAGTTTTATAAAGCTTTGCTTGTCCAATACAGTATTTATTTGTACCAAAACGATAGTCATTTATGGATTAAGTACACTTATGTGACAGGCTACTTATTCATGTATAAGTACCTAAATTTATTGATTTGAAAAAACTGCACCTGCTGGTACAAAGAGTTTTATACTGAAGTTTGTATGGAGGATAACCACCCACAGACATGGCCCTATAACTGTATTCCTGTAATTAAAAGTCTACTGAGCTCCTCAGTTAAAGATGCTCATTTTCATATGGAACAAATGACAGAAAGGAAGATGATTGGATAAGTCCAAGTAATACAAAAAAATTCTGTAAGAATATTGGTCTTTCCATATTTTAAAAGAAGAAATAAGACGCTCTCTCATTCATAGTGAACTCCATAAAGTTTCTCAAAAAGAAAACAGAACTTAACATTTCCAATAGTACAGGGTACCACTATCAAGACATCAGTTGCCAGAAGAGTCTGATTTCTGAGGAGCATCAACAAAATCACTTGTCCCTCTGTACTTTATCCTAGATATAAAGTGGTCTTTTATAAGTAAAAAAATTGTTGATAAATAATTTCAAGTTTAAAACATTATACAATTCTTTGAGGTAAGTCCATCCTCCACCCCTCAAGAGTTAAGAAAAGAGATCACAACTTGCAGAAGGTTCATATAAGAATCAGTTATTCAGCTATTCCTTAAAAAGCGGGGAAAAAAATTTATCTTGTTCTC